CTTGCCCATTTTGCCTCTTCTCGAGTTCCCGAATCCGACGATGAAAGTTCAGCAGCACAAACTTCATATGTTCGTCAACTACTGGGTCATGCCATCTGAAGAAATTACATGCCCCATCTGTCTACAGATCCAACCACAAAAACAGAGAGGGATGAAGGAGAGGATGGTCGAATGGTATACAAATCAAAGCAGAAAAGTCAGAAATCTTACCCCATACTTGCTGCACCCGTAGAACCTCCTCCCTGGATTCGCCTCTGTCCAGCTCGTCTTGAGATCTGATGCCAATCCACAACGACAGAAAGGTGTCGCCATTAGCAGAGGAGAAGACGATGAACAGAGGAGAAAGGGTTGAGAAGAAAACAGAGCTGCGAAGGTTTTGGGAAGATGATAGGTTTCTTCTGCCCAAAAAACGACCTAAATAACATAGATGAGTGGGTGGGTTGGGTCTTTTCGGGTTTGGGTAGAGGTTTGGTTAGGTTTGGTTAGGTTTAGCTGACATGGCGGGTTTAAATGACGTGGCGGTCAATTTTAGGGTCAAAAGGTGCTGATTAGGCGAATCCGTCAGCCACGTCATCACTTAACGGTCGCCGTTAACGGCGTTGGACGGCAGCTAACGGAGAGTGACCATAAATGAACTGGTTTTGTAAAGTTAGTGACCAAAAATGGATTTAAATTTTTTCAGTGACCAAACATGAACGCTTTTTGTAATGTTAGTGACCAACCATGCAATTAACCCTTTAAATAAACTGTGAAAGTAACGCCAAACCCGATTTAATTAATCATGATCAGAGTTGGATTCTTTTTATTGATTGGATAAAGGAGCTTTGGTGACCTTTTCAAAATTTGGAAGCGATCTACTTTAAGCAAGGTTGTTAATCTGCGGGTTGACCCGGACCCGGTCGAGCTAGTGGGTCAAGAGTTCAAGGGTCGTCCGTTTTTGCCCGGTTTGGCCCGGAAATATGGAAAAAGCCATTATTTTGTACTTATCCTCATAAATTATATCAAATCTTATCTAACATATGAGTTATAACATATAATATTACACCAAAATAATATATCGTACTTAGATCCAACATATAATGAAAATTCACACACTTATATAACATACATATTCAAATGTTCAACTTAGGATTCCAAAGATTGAGTTGGGCGAAAAAGAAAAATCAGAAAATAGGCGCAAAATCAAAGGAAAAAATGACACAATTTGACCTCCAACTCGGTACCTTATAACGATCGGCCCGACAGGTGCGTGTGGCCCGTTTATCTCATCGGGTCAGGGTCAAACTGGGTCGACCCGCGGGTCAACCCGTGGGTTGACAACCTTGACTTTAAGAAAAGGAGCTACCACGTACACGTTCGCAGTTATTTTAAGAAAAGACTTATTTCATTTCCGTTATAAGAAAATAATAAAAAAAAAGACTTACTTCATTTCCTATTTCCCCGCGAGCATTGATGATCATATTCATTCAACGTGGCTCCACTCGTTCGTCTGGCAGGCAGCCATCTTGAAGTTCAACTAACTTCAACCCCCATCGTGCTTAGACAAAAGCAAAACAAAAACCCTTCTATCCGCAGTTGATAGAATCCTTAGCGAAAAGCGAGGCCTATGTGCTACGCTAGAAGTTAGGCGCGCTAACACTTTTTTATTTTAGCATTTTTAACGCTAATTTCAATTAATATGAATATTTTGTTTGATGTCTTTCTTATTTTAAGAAGTTGATCACAATGAGTGTCAATGTATAAAAGGAGGAGTACGCTTGTCATTATTAAAAATTAGGAGGGACACATGAATGTGGCGCTGATTCGATCCAACCCGCTTCACCAAAACTATCATGAAGCACATAAAAAAATATAGATCACAAACACAACAAATCACACCATAAAGGCCATAAAGCAGACAAGAAAGCTTATAAACTAAACCAAAACCTCACTACACCACAAAATTCATAACATAAACAAATCTCAAACCATACCACAAGTTCTTTGAAGCAGACTCATAAAGCATACCACAATTTTATTAAAACAACCCACAATTTTCTTAAAACATACCACAAGTTTCCCGAAACACACTTGAAAAGTCATAAAGCATGCCACAAAATTTTTATAAGTAAATCACAAACTTCTTAAAGCATACCACAAGTTCCCTGAAGCACACAAGAAACCTCATAAAACATACCACAAGTTTCTTAAAGTACACTAAAAGTTATTAAAACATATCACAAGGTTTCTGAAGCATACAAGTAAGTTCATAATGCATATCACATGTTTATTTAAGCACACCACATTTTTTATTAAAACATACCACTAGTATATTAAAGCACACCACAAATTTCTTAAAGGAGACCAGAAATCTCATAAAACAAACCACAAGTTTCTTAAAACATGTCATAAGTCTCATAAAACTGACCACAAGTTTCTTAAAACATACCAGAAACCTGATCAATTTGGACTTATTTGTGAAATTTTAAAATTTAGTTATCAAAATATAAGACCTAAAATTATCAGGTGGTAAAATATTATTTTTCATCAATATTTTTATAACTTATATGCAAAAATAATTATAGATACTAAATTTTAACATTGATTAAGTTTATGTATCAAACTGTAATTTTATTATAATACCCAAACATAAAGGACTAGGAGAAAGGGCTGCTCATATAAGTGCTTAATGAATATGTTGACATGGTGCTATTAACACTCCCTTACGCCCTATCTAATCCTGCTATCCAATTAACTTAATCTACTAAAAGAATAATGGCAAATTATATTTTTGCTGTTTTATAAAATGAAATTGCAATAAGCACTAACAGATCGTTTCGTACCAAATGAATTGAAAATTCATTTTATTGTAAAATGAATTACCATGTAGACTTCATTGTCAAATGAAATCTTGTGTTTGGTATATTTTATTAAAATCTTTAGAAATAGAATGAATTGTCGTGTAGAATTCATTGTCAAATGAATTCCTGTGTTTGGTATGTCATATTTATAAGTAATTTAGTTAATAAAAGATGATAATTATATCATCTATTAAAATTAGTAAATACTTGTGGAATTCATTTGGAAATTCCATCTCAGTGCCTCGGAATTGTTATAACTAATTTTAAACCACAAAGTTACTCCTCTAATTAGTATGCTCATCTCATGTGCTATCCAAAGGCAGTCACATGTTGATGGGAAATTTTCCTCGATACTTAAGTTACTAAAAAAAATTGCAACGGTATCATACTTATATAAATAGTTTCCAAACTATTAGACTTTGGTGTGATTTGCTCAAGTGTCAAACAAACTATGCACTAGTTCGCTCCGCTGGAATAGAGAGTGAACTAGCTAGTGTGGATCATGGCATAATTGAAAAAAATGGGCACACTTATAAGGTTGTAGCATTTTTTTATTTTTTCATAATTTTATAATCCATAAAAAGATATTCAATATAAATTATTGTGTGGTTCGAGGCTGGTTCACTTGTATTTTTCGCGATCCAGGTTGCTTGGGGTATGTTCGCTTCGTTCTGGCGCGATTCCGGTGGAATTAAGGCTAGTTCACTTTGGTTTGATCTGGATTAATGTAGATCACTCCTGTTTTCAGCAAACCAATGATTGAAATACCGTACCGGAGATTGTACAGAAAAAGTCAGCAATAGGGTATTTTATGCTAAAACTGTGGTTCAACCGTGCTTAATACTACTAAATACCGCCGATACGATACAGTATTTTCTGGTCGAACCGCTAGTACGGTACGGTATTTCAGTCCTTGCAGCAAACACTGGACTGAAACCATGCCAGACTCTAGTAATTTATGTGGAAATATTTTAGCAACCTATGTATTGTGGAATATTTCCAATAATTAAACTTCCTGACTTCACAAACCACCCAAAACACACAGACTTAAACAATTAATACCAGCGTGGTGATTTTGAACAGGCTTACAACTCTTCAAGTGGAGCAAAGCAGTGAATTATGGCTTGTGTGTGTTCTCTATCTAGCTTTCATTCGAAAGTTAGGTTCTCTCGATTTTGCTTTGCTTGCAACTGTTAAGTAGCTTCTGCCAATTTTTGGGCTATTTTCGATCCTTAGGGTCCGTTTAGTATAGTTTTGTTGTTGTGGTTGTAGTATGGTTGTGTAACACAAGAGAAACCACAACAACATAAAAATAGAAAACAAAAACATGTTTAGTTGGTAATTATGACATATCATAGAAATCGACAACAAAAAACAGAAACGCGTTTAATTCTTTGTAACGAAAAATCATAAGAACATTTCTCAATATACAGTAAAGGAAACATGGATTGAGCTGCTGAGCAGAGGAGGGGAGGTCGCGGCGGCGGCGGCGGCGGGTCGGAGGGCGGAGGCGGCCGGTCGGGAGGCGCGGAGGCGGAGGGTCAGGAGGTCGGAGGATCGGGAGGGCGGAGGTGGCCGGCATGGAGTGGGGAGAAGACGGCGGCGTGTATGGCTGGAGGGGAGAGCGGCGCCTGTGTTTGAGACAAAATTGGAGAGGTTGGGGGCGGCTGAAGTAGGGTTTGGGGGTGGTGTTAATTTTTTTTTTTTTGTGTTTTTGCTTCTGTGGGGATTCGAAAACTGGTCTGTTTTAATGAAATCAAGCGCCCAACCAGTAGAAATCCCGTGTGCAACATGTTTAAGAATCATATCCAAAGCTATAAATTGTTGTTTCTCATATTTGGGTCTTATTGTGCAACTCTGATTCACAACAAAAAATAAAAACCCAACTAAACACGATTTTTTTTCTTGGTTTTCCAAATTTCTTAAAACACAACAGAAAACAAAAACAAACAACAATACTAAACGGCCCTTAGCTATTGCTTTTTGTTGCCAAGAGAGGTTAAAAAAATCTGCAAATTAAAGTATCCAACAAAAGACATTTATTTATACCAGCAGCATACATGTAGTGCCTCCAAAACTAGCTTGGCAGGCTGACAACGAACTCGATCGCCATATATATATATAAAAAATCACCCTTGAGGTAAAGTAGTACAGTGAGAATTACTTGGCGGCGGCGGCGGCGGCTTTCAAGGCGGCAATCTCCTTATCCTTAGCCTTGATCTGTGCATCCTTCTCATCAATCTCCTTATACGCCTCGTCCAGCTGCTCATTCTGCTCCTTTATATCATTCCTCAGCTCTTCCACAATAGCATCCGCGCTGAGACTCTCCCCGTCGTCGGCCTGGGCTTTCAGCTTCTGGATCTCCTCATCCTTGGCCTTCATCTTGTCCTCGTACGACTCCCAAGCCACGAACTCGAACCGGTGGAAATTGTCGCCGTCGACGGAGTAGGCGCACACGACCTGATTAATCTTGTCGGGATAGTCCGCGTTGGAGAACGGGCGCACGTGGCGCTGGGACTGCACGTGCAGGAGGCCCACAGTGTTGGGCTCGCCGGCGGGGAAGATGGGCTGGAACAAGGTGGATGTGTCCTTGGTCCGGTCCTCCTCGGGGGCGTCGGCCGTGGCGGAGATCCACCGCACGCCGTTCTTGGCACCCACCTTCAGGAACTTGCTGTTGTAGGAGCAGCGGAGGTGGATGAGGGTGGCGTCGGCGGCGGATGGAACCACCTCGAATTGGACAAACGGGTTGACCACGTCGACGTCGCGCTTGCAGCCGAGGTCCTTGTAGTACTCGAGGAACTCGTCGTTCCAGAGGTAGTGAAGGTATTTGCCGACGGACTTGGACTTCAGCACCACGTACTTGGGCAAGCCGGCCACAGTCGTCATTGTTTTCGGGCAAGCTTTTTTTTGTATCCCTCGACTCTCGTAAGTAATAACTAGTATACTTCTTTTGCTCTACTTCTTATCTATTAAATTGTGTGGATTGTGTTCGTGGTTCTGCCACATTTATATAGGGATAGCAATATTAGGATTTCCGCCCCTAAAATACAAAATTTGTTAAAAATAATATCTCACACTACCCCACTTGGCACTTGCCACCCAAATATCTAAAGCGATATGTGAATATATAGCTTCACTCAAAAGTGATTTAGGACGATCAAAATGTTTATCATTTATGTATCCGGCGATTTATATAGATTGTTGTTAATTATGTTCATCGATCTCTTCCTTAATCGCTTCACACTACCGATCTAGCCCAAATTAATGTATATAGGGATTTCTTGGGGCAAGTGGAATGTTGTGAAAATTATTTTAACAATTCTGCAATAAGTTTGGTGAGGGGTTGAAAATTCGAACTGTGCAAGTTGAGATGTAAATTACAGGAGGTGTAAAGTGTAGGGGGTGTAAGTGAAGCAGAAAATGTTTTTTGGAATGAAAAAGTAAGGAGGTGGACGTTGAGTGAAAAGTATGTAAATTATATTATTATAAAAAAATATAAAAACTATAAATATTTACACACATAAATAAATATTCATAATATTAATAAATATGCTCCCTAATTTTTTTATTAAGATAATAAATAAGCTTAATAAATAGTCATTAATTATAACACTCCAAAATTAGAGGTAGATCTTACCCTCGTTTGCTCTCCTTGTCATTATTAAGAAACATCCAAACACGGGGAAATGCATTTCGAAATGCATTTACTCTTGCCAAATATAGTGTAATAATTTAGCGAGTCTTATGGATACAATATTTGAATGAGTTATTTCGATTGAATTAACATATTTTGAGTTATTTGGATTGAAATAACTTGTTTGGCAAACAAAATGTGAGTTGTGGTATTATGGGGCCCCAACAATTGAAATGATGTATAGTGTGTCGATTGAAATACCTCCTTCCCCTAGACATTTCAGTTAACTCACTCAGTCATTCTTAAAGTGGTTCATTCTTTTAAGTGATAAAATACCTCAATATGTGAATGTTCTATCCAAATAAGACAATTAGTGACACATACTAAAAAAAAGTGTCATTTTGATTCTTTTTTTGTTTTTGTCAGAAGATCACTCGTATTACCGAAAAAAAGCCAGATACAAAAGAGTCACATGGCTGAAAAAAGCTAAGAAACAAAATCGAACCCTACAAAAAAAGGAAACATCGAAATGGCTTTCCTTGCCACCAAATGGACAACCCTGTTACATCTTCGACGAACAAAATGGATGTCAAACACTTGGAGCGAATCTCTCAAACTTCAAATCTCTTCTAAGACCATGCCACCCAGAACATCACCGGCCGGGCTCAGATCTTTCGTATTCTTACATGGGCATCGCCAATAAAGATGACTGAATGAAAAACACGTGCAAGACACCATCGTACCGCATCTCGGAAGGTTAGAAGCTTCACTAGAGACGGATCTGAAATACCCATATAACGTTGTTGATGCTGCCACGTACTTGGGCAAGCCGGCCACAGTCTTCGACATCGTTCAGTTTTTTTTCCTTCTATACTTCTTATCTATTAGATTCTGTGGATTGTGTTCATGGGTCAGCCAAATTTATATAGGGAGTGCATTACTAGAATTTTTTTGCATAAAGTACAAAAGTTGTTAAATCCTTTTTTTCTTTCCAAATTACCCCACTTGGTCTAAATCACTGCAGTGTATAACGATTTAGGAAGGGGATTGTTGAATATAACATCGATCTATGTAAATCACTGAAGGCATAAGCATTAAACATTTTAATTGTCCTAAATTGCTTTTGGGTGCAGCGATCTATTCACAGATCGCTTTAGATTGTGTTTTTCGGCGAGAAAACTTGATTTGAATTGAGATTGAATGCATCTTTACTTCTTTGAACAATAATCGACTTAACACAGTTCACACCTCTTCAAACAAAGTTCGAACAAGGGTGTTTGATGTTTACATGACACACGAGACAGATCTACATTAAGTTACTCCTACTCCTATGGACGTTCAGTGAGAGCTCCAGATCTACGACTACGACTAAAATTGGAGAGGAAAGGATAAAAGGATAAACTTTGACATTGAGTTGTCTGGTGTGAATTTGGCGAACATTTTCTCTGTCAACTCCTCCTATTTATAGCTTGAAGTGGTAACAGTCGTAGAAGAACCATCTGAGAGTAACTTCCAAAAAGAACTGCTCCCCTTCTTCCTCAGACGTGGCTGACGTGTCCATGAACGTGGAATAATTGACAGTTGCTCCATTAACCGCATGCCCTCTCTTTTGGAACCATCGTGGCCTACTAGACTTGAGGCCAACGTGGTCTAGCTCTCTGAATCAGTATATTTATGGCTTTCCTCCCCCATGTAGCTTGCCTTCTTAAACTTGTTAGTTTAGATCTTGGACATGGTCTAGATCTCATGGCTAAGGCCTTCTAGATCTCACGACCAACTTGGTCGACTAGACTTGATGCCAACGTGGTCTAGATCTCGCGACCACCTTGGGCTACTGGATTGACGCCAACGTGGTCTAGATCTCGCGACCACCTTGGTCTACTAGACTTGATGCCAACGTTGTCTAGATCTTGTGACCACCTTGGGCTACTAGGTTGACACTAACGTGGTCTAGATCTCGCGACCACCTTGGACTAGTACACTTGACGCCAACATGGTCTAGATCTCACGACCACCTTGGGCTACTAGGCTTCACGCCAACGTGGTCTAGATCTCGCGACCACCTTGGTCTACTAGACTGTCAACGTGGTCTAGATCTCACGATCACCTTGGGCTACCCAACTCGCGACAAGATTAGTTCATTCCCGGACTTAGTAGTTTGGGCTTAAAAATCTAGTACCATAAGACCCAGCTTAAATGACATTAATTGTTATTATTGATATGGCCTTATAAAGACAATTAATGCCTTATAAATAATCAATGTGGTACAAGATTATTTTCTGGGAGTAAACAAATGCTCCCAACTACTTAGTGCATAAGAATTATGGAGTAAGTAGTTGACACCACCATGCTAGACAACAAGCCGTCTACGCAAATCACAAATATATATTTACCTTAGCCAAAAAATTTGCTTACAATGATCAACCGAACACGGCCGGATGGAACTCGCCGTGAAAGCTTGTCCCATGTCTTAGCCAAATTTTTGCTACCACATCAAGCCAACACGACGGGATGGAACTCATCGTCAAAACTTGTACCATGCCTTAGCCAAATTTTGGCTTTCAATGATCAAGCCAACATGGCGGTATGGAACTCGCCGTCAAAGCTTGTCCCATGCCTTAGCCAAATTTTGGCTTTCAATGAACAAGCCCAACATGACTAGATGGAAATCGTCGTCAAAACTCGTTCCATGCCTTGGCCAAATTTTGGCTTTCCATGATCAAACCAACATGGCCGGATGGAACTCGCCGGCAAAGCTTGTCTCATGCCTTGGCCAAATTCTTGCAACGACGTCAAGCCAACACGGCGGGATGGAATTCGTCGTCAAAACTTGTCTCATGCCTTAGCCAAATTTTGGCTTTCAATGAACAAGCCAACATGGCCAGATGGAATCGCCATCAAAACTCGTTCCATGCCTTAGCAAAATTTTGGCTTTCCTTGTTCAAACCAACATGGCCGGATGGAACTCGCCGTCAAAGCTTGTCTCATGCCTTAGCCAAATTTTGGCTTTCAATTAAAAAAAACCATCATCTCTCACTCAAACCCTCTTCAGTTTGACTCAAGCCCCTCGTTGTTATCTAGTACTTGGCCACATGTTTGAGCAAGTAACTTAAAAAAATTTCGCACAAATTTTAACACGGAGTGACTCATCTCACCTCACAACTCCCTCATGACAACTCAAGTCGTCTACCTTTTGTCTTAGAAAATAATTTTCCTTTTTATCCTGCTAGAGACAATGTGGTCACCACTCCTCTACTACCACATTTCAAACCATCATGTCCCTCAAGTCGTGGCTACTCGGGACAAGACAACATGGCATGGCATGGCCTGATTTATGACTCGAAATGTCAAGTCATCATAATGACTAGGCGGAAAGATCTTCACATCGAAGTCTAACAACTCCACCTCAAGATTTTCACTTTGATATTCTCTCTCCATATTTTCTTTTAGCCATGGTTGGCTACAATTGTTTTTCTATAAATAATATATAATAAGTACAGTCGTCTCCACATTATATTTATTTATTTATTTATTTTACAAGGCAAGATGTCACTACTCTTTATATCCTTTGGCAACAATCAATGCACCAAAGGTGTACACCCATTGGCCATTGCCAAGTTCATGCGTCAAACCAAGCAAACCATCCATAGATCACATGTCTCTTTTCCTCCACGAGAGATGACTCTCCATACATTAAATTTGGATTTTCTAACTTACCAATGGGTGGTACATGGTCAGCATGTCTAGTCTTGGTGGCCTTACCTGGTGTCTCATGCTCCTCTGCCTTGACCACCTTACTTGTCATGTTATGACCCATGAGTTTTCTTCCATCTTGCTTTCCTCCGACTGAAATTGGAGTTGGGATGATCATCTTCAAGCATATCATCATCGACATGGTCATCTAAACCACCCTCATACTCGTCTTCTTCTTTTTGGAAATTTTCTTCAACCCCTTCTTGGACTTTGTCGTCACTCTGAACTTGGACTTGCTTGCTCTTGTTTGTTATTGTCACTTTGAGACTGGTAGCCATGGAGTTTTCCATCTTGAGATTTGATTGAAGAATATCTCCTCTCTTCCATTCCGAAGCACCCATTATGTTTCCACGAGCCATTGGTAATTGGCCTTGACGTGCTTGAACATTCTTGCAAAGAAACCTTCTTCTTTGGGTCCTAGTCAGCTCAGCCACTGCTACTGGTTGCTGACGACGGGCATTATACGTATGCCATCCACCATGTGGAACATTTGGAATCT